AATTTTCCAATTTTCTCAAACAAGGTCCGATTCACGTCATTTCAAGTCCGTTTCTTACCAAATTTTACAGGCTCAACTTAAATCACATATAAGACCTGTACCGGGCTCCGGAACCAAAATACGGGCCCGATACCATCAAATTTCCAACACATTTCATTTCCAAAAACTCATATATTTTCCAGAAAATAATTTTCTTTGAAAATTCATTTCTCGGGCTTGGGACCTCGAAATTCGATTCTGGGCATACGCCTAAGTCCCATATTTTCCTACGGACCCTCCGGGACCGTCAAATCACGGGTCCGAGTCCGTTTACCCAAAATGTTGACCGAAGTCAACTTAATTTCATTTTAAAAGCAAAATTTATTATTTTTTACATATTTTCACATAATGGCTTTCCGGATACGCGCCCGGACTGCGCATGCAAATCGAGGTGAGACAAAAAGGAGGTTTTAAGGCCTCGAAACACAGAATTTATTTCTAAAGCAAGTGATGACTTTTTGGGTCATCACATTAAGATTAGATCTAAAATTTTATTATAGTAGATTTCTAACACGTTTATATACATTTTGTCTAATACACATAAGAAAAAGTGATAATTACTTTATGCAATTTATTTAAGGAAAGGATTTATAAGTAAATTTTTATTTGGTTTTAAATTACTAAGTTTAGCAGTTTTTATATATGTAGTTCGAATAAGGGAAGATTTAATGACCAACATTTAGTTGATTTTAAAGTCCTAAATATTAGTAGAATAATTAAATTACAATTAACCAATATAAAATCTATTTTTAAAGGGTAAAAAAGGCGAACGACATTTCGCTAAGGGGCTTCGTGCTAGGATATGCGCGATGCGCGGGTACCTTCTGTCGATGCATATAAAACTATAAAAAATATAAACCCTTAAAAATAATATATAAGCTCTTGAATATGATAAATATTGAGCCTACTTAGTCAAAAAAAAATAGCGGATGGCATATCTAAGCATGACAACAACCAAGATAATCTTGAAAGTTTAGTGTTATTATGTGTCTCGTTCTTTTATATTAATTTTGTATCATAATAGTCGTCTAGGTACCATGTATTCTAAGACAAGTTAACTACAAAGAGAAGAAAAGTTAGCGATAGATAAATTATGTAGTTAAATAATAAAATTCATCGCTAATCCTACATAGTGACAGAATTAGTTATATATTATAAAAAATCCTATTAGCTACAAGATGAATTTAGTAACTAATTCATGTTTTGTAAAGTTAAATTGTGTAAAAAAAAAACTTTCTTAGTAATAATATTAGTTTCTTTTTTACCAAAAAATAAAAGTCCTTTTCCATCTATTTATTTTAGCATATGCATTGAGGTAATTTAGATATTTTTGTAAATTAAATTATGATAATTAATTTCTTATCACAAATTAATGATTACTATTTTTTTCAACAATAATTAATATTTCAAAACCTAATGCCGTAGTAAATTTTAACGAATTTAACAACCAAGCTTCTAAGAAAATACTTATGATTTAAATTTTAAAAACAACAAATAAATCATATGAAGAAAAATAAAGGTAAAATTGGTCTTTATGATAAAACAACGACAAAGAAAAAAAATATCCCACAAAGACGTAACAAAAAACTTTCCTCCTACTTTTTTTGCATTCTCTTATGTCTTAATATATTGTATTCTTATTAGGAGAAGATATCAAATACTAAATTATATTAGATTTTTTTTTATTTAGAACTCCTAAATATAAGGATTTTTTTTTTGATTTTACAATTTTATATAATATAAAATATATTTTTAAAGAGTAAAAAAGGTGAACGACTATTCTACTTCTCTTTTCTACTATATATATAAGAGAGGTAGAATAGTCGTTCGCCTTTCTCTCTCTCTATATATATTTTGCTTCACTTGATAAATTTTTTAGTATAATTTACTTTTCAATTTTATAGAACAACTATTCTACTTGTCTTTTCTTGGTTTTGTTAATTTTAAGAATTACTAGTAATAATTTGGACAGTTAAAATAGAAATTGGATAACCTTACATTATGTTTGGATCATTGTTACCCATGTTTTTATAACGTATTGTATTCTACTATATTATATTGTATTGTATCGTTTTATGGATACAACGTTTGAATAGATTGTATCGTTTGTTGTTGTTAAATAGCATTTTGTTGTTTGGTTTGATTGTATCGTACTGTACTGTAACTGATAAGTTTACTAAAATACCCCCAATTATTTTAAATAAATTTATCAAGAATTACACATAAAAATAATTTAAGACAGCATCTTTCTACTAATTTAAGATTAATTACGTGCTTGAAAACAAGAGCAAAAATCTGAAAAAAAAAGGTTAACTAATATTAGCAAAAAATAAATTAAAACGATGGAAAGAGACAAAGAATTGAACGGAGACTTGAATAAAAAGAATGGGGCAAACCAACTCTAGAAAGGATGGAAGAAGACAAAGTAGGTCAACATGTTGGAGATTTGAAGTTAAAATAATAAAATAGAATTATAGAGTAATAAGTAAGGGCATAATTCAAAAAGAAAATAGGAAACGATCCCACCACACTGATAACTAGGGATTTTCCCATGTTTTATACTCCTTCTTGCTTACACTTTGGTTATAAATTGTTACAAAATAGTCCCAAAAAGGCTCATAAGTGTGCTTGATTGCAGGTTTGATCGACAAAGTGACGAAATGTCAAGGATCGGCTCAAAAGGGAGCGAAACCCGCTCAAGTATCAAAGACAAGACAAACTGAAGATAAAAAGGCCTAGTGCGGCCGCATTCGACTTTGTGCGGTCTGCACTAGGTAGATTCAGAGAGTTGGCATTTACAAGCTTCAGGCAATGCGGCCGCTGTACAAATTGTGCGGTCCGCGCTGAAGGCTCCGCGGCCGCACGACCATTTTGTGCGGTCCGCGGAGTAGAGATTCAGAGAGTTGAAATTGCTAGATTCCAAGCCTTTGCGGTCCGCGGTCATCTTTGTGCGGACCGCGCTAGCTGCCTCCGCGGCCGCGGTCCATTTTGTGCGGCCCGCACTGACCCTGCAGGGGTATTTTTGTCCAGTTTTTCCAGCCTAGTATAAATAGGACATTTTACCATTTTTAGGTCATCAGTTAATTTCAGAATTGGGCTGCGCTCGTGAGAACAACTTGTATAGCCATTTTTGGCATCCTAGCTTCAATTTAACGATAGATTCTTGTACTTTAATTTAGTATTTAGTTATTATGTCTTGTTCTTCATCTATTTCTTCATTTTCTCTTGCAAGCATGTGTAGCTAAACCCATTAGCTAGGGTTGTGGCTCAACCCTAGTGTGGGTAATTGATGGGTGTTGCCATCTAGGGTTAGATTGACTATGGGTGTTTGCTATTTGGGTTGATTTTATGTTTTAATCTATAAATTGGTGGTTGCAAACACTGATTTGTGTTTTGTGGATTTGACTCTTCTTGAGAAAGAGAGTCTAAGTCTCCAAAATTGACCCAACAAAGAATTGGTATGGACTCATGAGAAATGATAGTCCCAATTAACGGGTTAAACCTCGAGAGAGTAATCACCCTACTTGAACCCTAGTTGCTTGATCTAATTTGCCTACCCATTTGGTCTCGAGAGAGTCAATTGGACAAAATCACTCTTTCTACCGAGAGGTGTGAGAGTGGGTAAAATTGTGCAACGGTTATAGCATAAGCCCCAATTATGTCAATCGAACTTTAGTAACATCTACCCGTCAATTAGCCACCTAGGTGATACCACGACCCTAGTGCCTTTCTTCCCATTAGATACACCTTTAGAAATTATCTTGTAGCATAATCTAGTCTCAATTAGTAGTTTGATAATAGTAGTTTATAATTGAAAAACCCAAAAATGTTGGAAGTGACATTTAGAACAATGACACGACTCTAGTCTAGATAGATACCCAGCTCCAATTTCTAGCTCTCTGAGGAATTCGATCCCGACCCTCAAATCGGGTAAAAGCTATTGCGACCCTCTCTTCCTACTTTATAGTAGTATGGAGTTGGCAGCGATCACACACCAAATCGGTTGTTTCATAAAATGGGGCTTTTGGTTGTTCCGGAACAATAAATTTAACATATACGATATAACCAATTTTAAATAAACAATCAAAACAAATATTGTTTTGAGATAACAATACAATACAGTACAATGGGTAACAACCATCCAAACAAGCTGTTAGATAACACCGAAAATTGTCTGTTTATTCTAGTGTTTTTGGCTAGGGGTGTTCATAAAAATCTGAAAAATCGAACCAAACCGAAAATCAAACCAACCAAAAAAACCGATACTTTTTGGTTTGGTTTGGTTTTGGTTTTGAATTTTAAAAACTAATCAAATTTGGTTTGGTTTTGGTTTTAATAAAAAAAATCGAAAAAAACCCGAACCAAACCGACTATAGGAGTAGCTATTTCAAATTTATTATTACACCTATATATATGTATATTTTTATACAAAATTTCAAAAATTTAATGGTAAATGTTAATAGTTTGCACTTTTAGTATAGTTCTTTACCTTTACATTCTAGTTTGATTGGTAGTTTTCTTTTGTTAAGTGTAAGAATCCATTTCGTGTTAAAAATAATATATTTTTAATTGAGTCCTTAAATTATTCATTTCTATTCGATTCAATTATCATCAATATATCTTGGTAAATAATAGATTTCTCAAAAGGCAATTGATTTGATAGTGTTACGTTGAAAATGTGGTCGCCGGAATATGTGTTTGATAGTGTATGTCTTATATTTAAGAAAAAACCGACAAATAACCGAAAAAACCGAAAAACTGACAAAAATCGACATAAACCGGATCGAGAAAAAAACCGACTTAATTGATTTGGTTTGGTTCTAATATTTGAAAAACCGACTTACTTGGTTTGGTTTCTTTTAAGGGAAAAACCGATCCAAACAGAACCATGAACACCCCTATTTTTTTGCCATTTCCCCAATTTAACATTCAACATACAAAGAAAAAGAAAAAAGACCAAATCGTATAAAATTTATACGAGGTATTAGATATTTAGAAATAAAGTGCTCCTCCCGCTTGGTCTGCTTTCTGAAACCATCCGCCGGCCCCTTCCGACGAACGGAACTTCATTGCCAGGCTTCACGCCCTCTGACTTCTTCTTCAGCAAAAGTACGTACCTGTATTCTCGAGGCTTCAGGTTCGTCCAAGATAAAAGCCCTAACAGTGCCAATTCGCCCTTCCAATTTTGTTCCTATCTAATTCTGAATTGCATGCTGTTGAGTTTTTATGTAGTAGTATTTACTGTTTTTGTGGTGTAAATTAGTGGTGTCGAGTTTGCATTGTGGTTCAGATTGTATGGTTTTGAGTTTGTAATCAAAGATATGGGGATAATTTTAGTAGCACATAGTTGTTGAGAAATGCCTTGAATCTTCTGAAACCTAAGTATATATGTCAGTTATGAGTTTTTGTACTTATCTCGGACTAATGCTTGCTCAATTTCCCTTCATCTGCTTGTTTTTTTTTTAATTATTTAAAAAACCAATACTTTTCCTGATAAAATGCATATTTAGATGTATTGAGAGAATGTAAGTTTGTTTTTTTAAAAAAAAATCGAATCTGCTGAAGAAATTCTGTTAGTGTTTAACTTATCAAAAACCTATCAAAGATAAATGAATTAAATAGTTAGTTTTTGGAGAATTGCTGGCTGTTTTGATTTTTGAAAATGTTCGTAGAGTGTAGCATGATAATTTGCAAAGGCTACAAATTTTATTCATAACAAGTACGGAAATTTAAAGAAACAAGATAATAGCTTAAGGAACCACATCATAATTGTAGTACAATATGCTAATAATCCTTTTCACTATCAGGCACCACTTACATTTCGTCTTCTTCCTCTTCCTCCTTTTCCTCCTCTTCTTCTTATGGTGGATTTCGACCCCAACCATAATCGTCATAATTAAGTTCAAGGTTCTCCTCAAGCTCTCTAATCTCTTGTCTATCATCGAGATAATTGCTCGCTTATTCTGACAGCAATATGGCTCCCCAATAGTTGAATAATAATCTAATGTTTCTGGAAAATGCTTTGGAAGTCCTTGATGCAGTGCAATTTTTCATTCTCCAAGAGACCGCAATACTCTTCTTCATCTCCTTTCCAAAGCTTAATGTCTTCCAATGCATGAAACTGACTTTTCCATTTCAAGAATTCCTTTAGACAAAAGTTGAATTACTGCTATGTGGGTGATATAGCTTGCAGAACTGGAAAACTGTTCCATCGACATAACACTTCCTAGGCGCACCGCTTAGAGTATAACTCAACTCACTTCAGAGTTTCTCCCCATATAGGCATATACGTATCCCTTCAGGTTTCCAAGAGTGTACCTCACCCTCTATAATATAACCCGTGATTCCGAGGGGTTGATTGAAAGATATTGGTTGGTTCTGAAAAAAAGCAAAGGTTATCATACCATTTATCACCGACACTGTCCAAATAGCAACCAAGCATGTTAGGTTCGAGATAAGGCTCAATTGTGTTTAAATTTCACTCCTTCCTTGAGGGTTCCTCGAGCTACCTTCTCCCTTATGTTTTTTTGCTAAATTGTGCAATGAAAAAATGTTTTTTTGGCATGGTTAAATTTTTATCAAGAAACTCAATTAATTTGAATGAGAGGGATGGGTAGTTTGAACTTTGAACAAATGAGGATGTTGTTCCCTTTATATAGAGTAGATCATGGTAGGTTTTGGTGTATGTCTATTGGTCATTGACTGATGGTTCGTTGGTCGACATGATTTATCAGTATAACTTTATTGATTTATTGATGCATGTTTGAAAAGTAACCTAACGCGATTTATTATATATATATATATATATATAGGTTCAGTCACATGGAGGATCAGAGGTTGACACAGCTACATCCTGGGCCGTTAGACCATAGCGTACTGACAAGACAAAACCATCACAGGTCGAAGGACGTATGGAATGGTGAGGTGGAAAAGCCTATTTTATGTAGACGATCAGATGGTAATTTTTGGAATTTGGTTCATGATCGTCCAATTCATCGACGTGTCCTGCAAATATTAATTGATGCAGGATTTTACGGGGTCTATCGAGTAGGACGTATACAATTAGACCATGCTTTTATTACTTCTCTTGTTGAGAGATGGCGTCCGGAGACGCATACTTTTCACCTAAGAGTTGGGGAAGCCACTATTACGCTACAGGATGTAGCTATTTTGTATGGATTGCCAGTAGAGGGAAGGCCAGTATTGGGCATTGATAGTACAAGAAAGACCGAAGAGTGGCAGGATATGTGCGACGCGTTGCTTGGTTTTAGACCACATAGTGATTGTTTATTTGGTAGTAGGCTTGAGATTAGTGCACTAGCTACATACATGGAGCAACTGCCTTTGCTAGATGATGATGCAGATGAGGTAGTTGTACATCAGAGGGCTAGGTGCTATATGTTATGGATGATCGGGGGTATACTGTTTCCTGACACATCAGGAAACAAGGTTAAGTTAATGTACTTGACGCTGCTCGATGACATCACGCAGATTGGTATGTATAGTTGGGGTAGTGCTGTGTTGGCGTGCTTGTACCGTGCATTGTGTAGAGCTACCCGGCCAAAAAACAATGAGTTATGTGGCTTCATACCACTTCTACAGGCATGTATTTATTTATATGATTATTTATATTTTTATTTTAATATAAAATTAATTTTATTATTTATTTTTGATATACTTAGGTATGGGCATGGGAGAGACTGAAGATGGTTCATCCAGACAGACGTCAGGCAAGAGAGGGTGCTATTACATTTTCGAATGATCTCCCTGGTCCACCACACGCATGTAAATGGAACGTTCATCTTAGTTGGACACATACGACGCAATACGTGTTGCCATTGTTTCGGGACCAGCTAGATAACCTCGTTGATGAACATGTATAACTTATCAGCTCTATATATGTTTTGCAGCAAGTGTTATATTCTTTTTATGGCTCATAGTTTGTTATTTTCCCAACAGTTTGTTTGGGAGCCGTATACTCCAGATGTGATGGAGAATCTTCCCGAGTATTGCCGATCAGGAGAGTACTTTTGGCGTGCTGTGGTGCCGCTCCTATGTTGGGACGTGTTGGAGATGCATCAGCCCAACAGGGTCCTCAGACAATTCGGAATGGGTCAAGTCATACCTGTTTCCTGCAATTTTGCAGACAATCACGACATGCATGATCGTCGTGGCCGACAAAACACGGATTGGGCTAGAGAACATGCGAGGCCCATACTTGTCTGGAATGATCGTGCTAACCGAGTTTGTGAAGCCCGGCTAGCAGATGGACCCGTTGCATATGATGATGATTACCTTGTCTGGTATCGTCGGATTACTCGACAGATTATCGGAAATCCCAGTATCCGATTTCCAAAAGGGTATGCATCCCTTGCACCAGTGGCGGAGGTTATGGTATGTACTTTGCATTAAGATAAGTTAATCGCATTTTTTATATAATGTATCATTTTCTGTGGGACCCCACAGTGTGGGATAATACTGGGTATGTTGTTGTTGTTGTTTGTATCATTTTCTATGGAATTCATTCTTATGTCAGAAAAGCCAGCTAATTAGTTCATTTGATATATTGTATAGTGTGCACCGGTGATATATTATAATTTTTGAACCTATTCTCTAGGTGTATATATTGATAGATATCTGAAATTGTTCAAAAGTTGGTTTTCATTGTATCCTGGAATACATCTCTACCTTTTTCAGCCTTATGCCCAGCAAACTTTTGCTTTTTGATTGTTTTTCTCCATCTCAGTATAATTTCTGGCATGTGTAACTTTTGGATAGCTGCTGATAGCATGTCTCTTGGAAGACACTTCGGTTGAATTATTACTGCTCTTTATAGTTTCACATCATTTATACCTTAACTTTTTCGGTGTATTTGTGGGCCTTATTTTCTGTCAAAAATACAGGAGGAAAAGGTTGATGAGCTAGTTAACTATCATGTCAGCTGTGGTTTTATTACTTTGTATTAGAAAAATAATGATCCTCGATTTTGCAATTCCAGGCACGTCAGTTGCATATGATATATCAATATGGTATTGAATTGCGACAACAACCATCAATGGAGGTTGCAGGAAGGAAAGTCATGGAGATGTGCAGTGATGGTTTGACAGCAGCAATCGAGGCTCAGAGGCTTCGTGTTCAGCCAATGTATGTTCCAGTTGAGCAGCCTGTAGTTGATCATGCTGTTAATCCACATAAACGTGGAAGGGCAGGGAGACGCAAAAAGAGACGTGCGATAGCAGCAACTAATGTTGAAGAAAGGTCTGAAATGTCTAATACAAATTCGGATTTGGAGCGTGATCGTGGTGCAGGTGGTTCTGTTAAGGGTGATGGAAATTTAAATGTTGAAGCTGAGCTTGGTATGGATTCATCACAGTTTGCAGAGCCCCGTTTTGATATGGCATCTAGTTCAACACATTTTGGGGATGGGGATGGGGATGGGGATGGTTCTGAATTGCATAATGTTGACATTCAACTTGTACTTTATCAGATCCCACCCTCTCAGCAGTTTGATATGAATAATTTTGGAGACGGGTTTGATGATGACGACATACACCACTCCCCTGCCCGTCCTGATCGACAGGTTAACTATGATAATACCCCTAGCCAGATGACTTTAGAGGCCTCTTGTGTTACAACTATTGGTTCTGTGGATGATAAGCCTATGGAGCAAGCAATTCCAACCCGAGGAAGAGGGCGAGCGAGATTTTATAAACGTCGTGTTAATAACAATGTAGATGCACCCGGCGACAAAATCCTGCACACCCTATAGTGCCGCTACGTTGCTATAAACCCTAAAGCACCCTAGCAACTAGGTGCTCCTAATTTCTCATGAATTTGTATACTAACACTGCTAGATAGAGTGGTTATTGGGGTTCTAAAAATCTAACTTAAGTTTCGCTTTTTGCAGTATACACAAAGTCAAACTTCGGGATGAAGTTATATGCATGAAAGGAAGTGACTTCCTAGAGGGGATATCTACCACCTGCACCCTTCGTTTATATGCTCAAATATTGGAGGAAGACTTGTACATTATCTACCCATGGATTTCCCAAGTTAGCATGAATAAAGCTTGCACATTTGTTTTATTCCATGCTGTGTTGAGTGGGTTTAAAGTTAATAGGCGATACCAATTTTTGGCTTAAATAGTGAAACAGATTGCTTTACATGGCCCTCTAAAAGAAGTTTTCTCAGATCTATTCAGTTTGTGCAGGATACCAGATGCTTTTATTGAAGATTGGAGCTTACAAGGCTGGAATATACCTTTTAGGCGAGTGCTGAATGATCGGGAGGTGGATAGAATTACTGAGTTCTTCAAGGCGCTGGACATGTTCAAGGGCACAACTGACGCTGGAGATTCCATGATATGGAAAGGTAATGGCAGAAAGTGTTTCACACTTAAATCAACATATAATGCATTAACTGCTACTGGACAACAAGACACAAGATGGCCTTGAAAGAATAGTTGGAAAGCCAGGACTGCTGTTAAAGTGAGATGTTTCTCTTGGTTGGTAGCACGGAGAGCATGCCTTACTCATGAAAACCTGCAAAGAAGGGGAATACTATTAAGTTCAAGATGCTTTTTATGTCAGGAGTGTGCTGAAAATGACAGTCATTTGTCTTACGTTGCGAAGTGACTGGTCAACTGTGGCAGATTTTCTTGAGCATGTTTGGTCGGAAACGAGTCATGCCAGAGTCCACTATTTATATGCTGAAGTGCTGGAACAAAGCGGGAGGCAGTGTAAGGAATAAGAGGTGGTGGAAATCTATCCTAGCATGTTCCTTGTATTGCATATGAGTTTATGTTATCATGGTAAATTCCACAAAGCTTCTCAATAGGCAGCCAGTTGACCTGTTAAAGCATTCTACAAGGCGTTTCTTTGTTGGATACATTAATTGGTTTTGCAATCAACATATCCAACACTAACTCAAAATCTGCAATCTCCTGTATTGGCTAACATGTCATCTCATGGATTTATACCTTAGCTTTCTGATCTTGGATGTTTATCAATTTTCTCGGCTTTGCAGGCCAGACACAAATTTCTAGTCTCAACTAAGAGTACCTTCCAAGAATTGTTCCATGTTTTGCAGAGGTACTTTGAAACCAGAACCAGCAGTTGCTCAACAGACCTCACACATCTTCAATGTCCCATTTTCCTTGTGGTTATATTTTGCCATTATTTGAGCTAGCTATTACTAACCTATGATGCCATGACATTTTTTATCATTTACTTAACCATTCACAACAGTTTTTGATATCCATTTCCTACATAAAACAGCTAGTGCACTGAAGTTATCTCATGTTTCCTGTGACAAAGGTAACTTCTTCACAAACTATAAAGAAATAATGTTCACATGTCAATGCAATGGATCCTTCCAAAGAAATTATTTTCAAGTACAAACACAAATAGGAAAAGAAAATGTCTTCAATTTTCCCAGCTTCCATCTAGCTGGATATGTTATTGTACATAAAAAAAAAAACAAAGGAAAAAAGAGAATCACTGGTTCCTTAAAATCATCCATGACTATGCTGAAGATCCATATCTCCTCTATCATTCAATCACAACCTTTCTCCTCCGCAAAGCAAAGAAACACTTCTCAGATGATGCAAATAAGCTTCAGTCGGTTACCTGTTAAACCAGGGTTGCAGCTTTTTATTTGCTCGTCAGGCTGATGAATCTAAGTGATAAATAATGACCTTGATCTCCTTGTCATATTCTTCTTTTTGCTCTTCCTGAATTTGCCTGACTGATTTCTCAAGAGACTCACCACACCCTTTCACTTCAATCATCTTTATACTTGAAATTTCTCCAATAGCAGAAGGGATTTCTTGAAGATGGAAGCAGCTTTCTACCATAAGCCGTTCGAGGTTTTGCAAGGACTCATCTGAGGCACTCCATTCTGTAATTTTGAGGGACCTCAATTTAAGAACCTTGAGGGTCGGAAACTCTTCATCTTTAATTTCCCATTTTCCTTCCTGAAATGCTCTATGCTCCAACTTGAGAACCACTAAATTTGGTAATCTCCCGATATTAGACATTTCAGTTTGTGGCAACAAAACATCAGATAAAGTTAGCTTTGTCAGCGTCTCGGGCATGCTGAATTTCAAGATCTTACCATTCACACTAAGTGTTTCAAGTGGAAGAGCATCTAATCTGAGTTTCAGAGGCTCTTTACAGTGGCACTTGAGCTTTCGCAGTCTGGTCGCCTTCTTTATCATGTTTTCTGCTAGCTTATTAGTGAGAGACACAGTGGCCAAGGTGTCTAAGCAACATAAGTTTTCCGATTTGCGAGGAATGCGTCCATCAAAAGATGCAACAGGTTGCACATGCACATGTTTTAACCTTGGCATATTCCAGATGGCCATTGGCAATATTGTACCACTGCCTACAGTTATGACAAGCAAAACCTCAAGGTTTGAAAGGTTTGATATCCATGCTGGCATAGATTCCACATAGCCTTTGATTCCTAAGTACTTCAAAAGAATAAGCTCTTTTGATCTCTGGAATGAACTGTCCGACACAGGACATTCCATTTGTAGAACTCTTAGAAGTTTAAAGTTCTCAAGATCAAAAAATTCCTGGCAGCCAGATTTCGGGGGTCTGAAGAATGCAGAACGAACTTGCAGGTTTCCGATCCTCCCTGCCCAATAAAGGCTATGATGAATGCACAGCCTCCGGTGCTCATAAAAGGAACTAGTCAAATCTTTGTTCTCAGTACTTGTTATCTGCATAAACTTCTCTTCCTTAGCTTTTGCTGCACAAAAATCGTGCAGCATATCATGGATGTGACATGATCTGACTCCTCCGGTGGACCTTTTCTTGTTAACCATTACCAAGCTTCTACCTATGAGATCATTCAGTAAACTTTCTGCTACAAGCTCTACACTCTTTGCCTCTGTGTTTGCAGCAAATCCCTCGATATTCCACAACCACGCCAAGTTTGAGATAGGAATTTCTTCATCCTCACGAAATGATGCAAAGTAGAGAAGGCAAGGCTTGAGGTGATCTGGCAAGTGCCTGTAGCTCAATTCTATTATATCTAGGCACTTGGCACTAATGTCAGTATCTGAATTAATACTTTCTGCAATTTTTCTCCAACTTCCCTTGTTTTTCTCTTTCTTTGTCAAAACACCAGCTACCAAAATCACCAGGAGAGGTAGTCCTTGACACTCTCTTGCAATTTCTTCTCCAACTTCACATAGTTCTGATGGGCAAGTTGGTTTATTGAATAACTTAATTTGCAAGAGTTCCCAACTTTCTTGTGCAGAAAGAAAACGAAGTTGAAGAGGTGGTCTAGTAGGGTTAATATCTGAAGCCACATCACTAAGTCGGCTCGTTAATAAGATCCTGCTTCCATTTTCATTAACTGGAAAACATCCCTGGAAGTCTTCCCATGCGTTAATGCTCCATACATCATCAATGTAGACAATGTACCTCTTGCCCATTAAAAATCTTCGCAGAGCAACTGCTGGATCTTTCTCTTTCTGTTGACTGGGACCTCGGACTTGATTCAAAATTTCCAGCAACAACTTTCTCCTGTCATATGTTTGGGAAAGACAACACATAGCATAGACGTCGAAATGATGCCTTATGGTTTCATCATGATAAACTTTCTTTGCAAGTGTAGTCTTTCCAAGACCAGGCATCCCTACAATAGACACAATATCTAATTCCTTTGGTCCTCCAACGAGCTGCTTTATAAGTGACTTTGCCTCTTCATCAAAACCCACCACTACCTCATCAAATCCTGGAGTTATCTCAACTTCTTGTGGGACAATATCTGGTGCTTCTTGTTCGATAAGGACTTCAACTTCTTGCACATGGAACTCTGCTAATTGATCATTGACAAGCTTAATTTCTGTTGTGGTCTTACATAACAAATGCTGATACCAAACAGGATAATCTCCCATAACCAGGCAATCAATTATGCATTCTGCCTGGTATGCTAGAGATATCACTTTTGTCCAAAGATCATGTTTCTTCACCTCCTCAAAAGCATGCTGTTGCTTCACAAATTTCCCCAACAATGATCTTAAGAAAGACAACTCCTCCTGAGCTTCTGCAATAAGATCCTTGACAGCAGAATCACACTTTCCATCTTGCAGCAGCTCTTTCAGATTGCATAAGAGGGAGTCAATAAAGCCTAATCCATTTGTCCTCGGGAAATTATATTTTGATGACAGTGGAGCTTTCAGAATCATGTCTTTTAGGTCTTTCATGACAACTTCAATCTTTTTCAATAAGTCAGAGAATACCGAGTTAACTTCTGCTGCTTTGTCAAAAGAGAAAGAGTAAGCAACAGAAGCTACCTCAGCAATAAGACCTTCAACGCGGGTAAGTATATCACTCAATTTCCCCTCGTCATCATATGGATCTTCAGGCGGATAAATAAGCAAAGTTAGCAATTGCTTTGATGCTTGAAAAATGCTTTCGGCTTGGTCCTTCATAGGAGGAAGCATCAAGGAACATGCCTCACTATTTAATAACTTTGAATAGTCCTTCAAGAGAAAGTGAACAGAATCTTCAACAAATTTTATCACATCCCGGTTGTATTGGTTTTGTGATATAACCAAACATCTTAGAGCCACTGTATAAATTTTCGCGACTTGGGGCTCAGTGGGCTTGATCACTTGCAAAACGTTTGAGATCTTAAGCCTCAAGTGAGATGCCAGGTCTTCATCCATTTCTTCCACATAACATAGGTAACAGATGTAAGCAGCATTCCGAGTGACAACCTCCATATGATTAAAGAGAATTCTGGATTTCTCCAGTTCAATGCTTGCATCTTTTATGAAACCGAGGAAGGTTTTGAGATACTTTAGATTTTCTTCAAGGACTAGAAGCTTTTTCTTTAGAAGGTCAAACTTGTTCAACTCTTTCTTGTTTTTGAAAAGATCCTTCACATTCTGAAGGATGTAGTCAATGAACTTCTGAAACAATGGACTGCATAGATTTGGTAAAGGCCACCTTCCTGGATCCAGTGAAAGGAGAAACTCATAACCTTGTTTGACTTCAGCAGAAGATAAGTCTGCCCTTGGACCTGAAATACTATCTCCGACTTGCATTCCATGTCCTCGCAACTTCCCATCCTTAATCCTCCCTTTTTGAGTTGCCCAATACAAAAATGTATCAAGAAATCTCCTCTCTATTTCAGACATTTGTTATCTCGCGGAGTTGTCCTTAGAATGGTGCAGACAGCTCTGAAGGTAAAGAGATTAAAAAAAAATCACATTCCCAGGACCAAACATGAGATTTACAACCTTAACATAAAAAATTTATTCTATGATTATGATATTTTTCCTACTGTATCAGCATGTAATGCTTGATTATAACTAAGTTCTATTCAAGGGAAAAAAAGAGGATAAGTTCTGCTTTTACATTGTTTTGGTGCATGAACTAGGAACAGGACTATGTATAATATTTTAGTTTCATTTTCCCTGTACAGAAAGTGATCCTACTTTACGCTGTGAACCAATATAGCTATAAGTTATATCTGAAGTCCTAATGGATACTGTAGTGCTACACATTACAATTAGGCAAATAGGAAAAAAGGTCACCAGGAAGATATCAGGAAAAAAAATCACAGAATTGCTCAGAAGACAGGCATTTCCTACGAACTAGAGATGTTTCCACAAGTCATAAAAAGTAGTGAATCTGATAAATTGAGTGATGCATTGGTAGATCTAATCACAACCATGTATAGCAAGCACAATATGGGAATTAGTTGAATTTCAGAAGGATTTACACTTACTATGTATGATGAGTCTTTCTGAACTAAATGTGACAAAAATATATTGACCAACAAAGAATGCATTATATAGGAAGGTTTGACTAGCACTAGAATTTCTCTCTTGGATCTAAGAAAGAATCTTTCAAAACTACCGTGACTTTAGCAGCTTATTCTAATGGAACTACATTAAACATACATGAAAACAACATTCTCAGATAGGATCTTGATGGAAAAATTTACATGAAAACCAGAATGTTTTGTGACAATAAGGATTCAATCTCTGTGCTCACAATTGAAAAATCATAATCAGTGGCCGAGGCAGGATTTCCGCTAGGGGTTCAAAAAAGTTAAAAAAAATTGTAGCTAGTGGGAATTGAACCAATGACCTTACAAAGGTTTTGAACCCCTTGACCACTAAGCTATGCTTATGGGCTATGTCAAGGAGATTCGCAACATAATATATAGAGGTAAAAAACAGATTTTGCCCCCCTAAATTTGCCCCTGATACACTCCTAGTTGTTATTAATCAGAAAGAAAGTATGAGCTAATAGAAAGAAGCTGTGAACTAAAACTGAAGAAATGCAAACCTGGATGATTGTTGTGTTCTTCTTCTTATTATGATAAAAAAGCTGCAAGAATGATCATGGACCTGCAGCAAGTTAAGTTAGAACAGATGCAGGAATTACCCAGCAAAAAGGGAAGATGAAATTAGAAAGAAATGGCAAAAGAAATTAAGTAAGTTTATTACCTTTGGTAACTTTGACAGAGCAGAAAGAAATGATGTAGGCTTCACACCCTTATTACCAATTTGTTCTACACATAAGTTTCCTGCTTAGTATATTGTTGCTGAGCGTTTACCAAAAAGAAGAATGAACAAGAGATTTGAAGAGTACTTGGTGAGAGCAAGTCAACGTGGTTTCTGTTTACTAATAAATTGTTATATATTTATTCTTGGTGGGCCATGTTACAAGATGTAATGGTTTTTCTTTTTTCAATAACCATTGACTTGCTAATCATAGAAGACTTTTGAGATTTAAGAACATGAACGCGCCATTATCATCACTAAATATTGCATATAAGCAAATTACAGTTAATGAATAATAAATAATGATGCAACTTGATAGCAGAAATCAATTATCTATGCTTGACCTCTTAATTATTACCAGTTTGTCTATACTTGATCATATCAAGATTTCCACTAGGTGTTTTTGCTGAGCATTTACATTTGTTCATAAAAAAAGAAGACCATGAACAGGAGACTGGGAGGCTTGGGAGAGCGAGGTTGTTTCTTTTTACCATAATATAGATATTTTAGTAATTTACATTTGGTCGGCCATGTTAGGTGCGACAGGTTTTTTATTTAATAACGTTGACTTGTTTCCTAACCAAATTTTTTTTTTAATCACGCCCAACTATGCCTTGTAAAAAGGACACGCGGACGTTGCAAATATAATCTGAGTATTAAGCTCAGAGTCGAACCCACAAGGAATTAACCTATCAATTACTCTCGTTAAACTTACTAAACTCTACGGAATCAATTTCCCAAACGTTTGAATAATAGTTGAGAATATTTTTTTTTACTAACTATGACAGACTATAATTAAGTAAACAAGATTAACTATGATTACGTTGTAAACAATTAAGAGAAGGATCTAAGGTTATGATTTCCCCTATTGATGGAATCCCTTCCGGTTATGTTTCACATAAATTCACCAACTAGCCTCTATCAATCACGGGCACTCTTATTATCGTAAATCTCTCCCGAGTAATCACGACAATATAATAGACGCACACTCCCAAGTTACGCTAGCTAGCTTTATCTATTACAGCTCAATTTAGATTGCACCCAACGCTTCGTTATCCCTAATCCCGCCTTTAAACCCTCAGTTATTGATCTCTCATATACTTTGGGAGTGTTGTTGTTCGACAATTACCTAAATATGCACTCTCTCCCGAGTTATGCACACTAAATAGGCACAGCTAATTGAGGATCCTGTCAATTAACTGCAGCAATCACATGGTTGAACAAATAGAGATTAAACTGGGCAAACTTTATTAACATAACGAGAAGTTCATCCTTCAATAGGTTCCATCAAACCCTAAACTAGGAAATTAGCTACTCATGACAAAACAAGATAAAACTACTAAATCAATCATAATGGTTAATTGAAATAATCAAGAGAAAATAGAAGAACTCTAATGTTTGTTACTCTTCTCACACTTGTTCTTGCCTCCAAAGTAGTCTAAAAACAAGCTTAAACAAATCTTGGGCGAGTTTCTAAAGCTTATAAGGGTTTGGAACAAGTTTTCCCGAATTTACACTTTGGTCCCCAAATTTCTAGCGAGTGAACAGTGCACCGCGGTCGCGGCAAGACCACGGCTCGACCGCGGTGAATGCTGAGCATTTTGCCTCGACACTTGATCTGCCGCGGTTCCACCGCGGTCGCGGTGGAATTTGCTCAGTCCATTTTTTTGCTTCTTTGTGCTCGGGTACTCCTTGAGTGGGCGTTTTCTTCACATTATTGCCTCCAAAACACTCCGTGGTGCTTCCTCACTTAGAATATTCCCTGCGAAACAAAAGAACACCATTTAGAGCATTTTGTTGGCAATTTGCCTATAAAACAACAATAAAGCATGGTAATATTAAGGTGTAAATATCATCTATATAGACTAATATCAACACCCCATACTTAAATCATTACTAGTCCTCTAGCAATTCACCACACTCTATCAAAGTTCCTTCCCTAATCTTTTCCCTTAACGAGTCACACCTTGAACAATTTACCAAAGTTGCACCTAGTAGTGAACAACCTTTACCTCAAAAGTCGAATCTCTCGTACCACGCAACATTTGCACTTACTCAAATTACTTTATACAAGAGTCAAGACTTACCTTTCCTTTGTGAATCACATGCCCTCACATCACACAATAGAGTAGTTCCACAATTAATATGATTAAAACAATTAGGAACTAAGATGGACAAAATTCGCTCACTCTCCAAAAGAACATTCACATGCCACAAAGATGCACCATTGGCTTGCCCATAGTGTAATACTCTACTAATCGATCCCACTCAGTTTAAGATCAATAGGACTTCACGTGGTTGTAATGTAGGCTAAAGGACGGGTAGGATATATTTGGATATAGTGACTAACCTCCCTAAGCACTTTTAATACAATTACATTAACCTTCAAAACCATACTTATGTCAACCAAACACTCCACCATTTTTTATTCACAACATCCCCATCCATTAGGTGCAATTGTAACAAACCACCACTTATCGATTACTACATTTTACTCATCATTTTTTTGTGGTTCTTATTCTTATACCCTTCAAAATTCGGCATCTTTTCTCCATTTCAATGGTTTCACTCAAAAACCAAACCACCACCCCACACTTTTGCTTTTGCATAATTTCAATACCATTCAAGTGCTTATGGGAGGTAAAAAGGTTCAAACAGCAGGCTATTCAAATAATTAGGTAAGGTTCGCAATGTGGTTGCCAAAGAATCAAGCTTATAGGCTCGACAAGGTTAACTAAGATGTATTACATTCATGTGGGTTTACTTTATATGTCTGGCTCAACAAAGAAATGCCTATATCACTTTTAGAACTGAATGAAACTACTATTTCGCTTTGCAAACACACAGGGCAAGTTCTAGGCATCAAATGTGAATCATGGAATGCAGTAAAACTCACACCCACATGGCATATGACTCATTCCAGATTGGCTTATCAAGACAATCTCTTCTGAGTATTCAAGTCAGTGATAAACATGTAATTTAAGGCACTAGAATCAACCACTGAGACTAAGCGTTACACTCTAGTGTCTATTGTGTTCAGGTGTATCCACGCTAAGGGTTTCTCCTTCCATTTTAGCTCGTAGCCCATTAGTCCTAACTACAACTAAAAACAAAATAAACCAAAACTACCTACACCCGGTTCAAGCTAAACCCTTGGAAAAGAACCGTGGCCCAAAGAAAAACCAAGGGGGAGTTACTACACTACCTAAAAATAAAAAAAATCTTTTTGGTCTTTTCTCTAGACTTACTTCCCTCAAGAAAATTGTCTAAAGGATCCGTCATCAAGAAGAGTATCTATATTCCCTATTTATTTTTTTTCTTTTTTTTCTTTTTTTCGACTTAGTCCCTCAAGAACCCCGCCGAAAGAGATCCGTCGTCGGGACAAGTCACTTACCTACTTTAACTTACCTAACGAACTATTACTCAAAACACCAAAAACAAGCGAAGCAAAACAAAAAAAAAAAAATCAAATGGTCAATTGTTAAAAATACATATATACACTGAAGTATCCCCCACCCCACACTTAAAATGTAGACATGTCCTCATGGCATAAAAATCTAAAGAACAGTGAGGTAAAGGAACTTCCCTGAAAGATCACTCCTGATCGGAGACGGTGTCTAGGTTCACATTGCAAGCACGACCCAGAGCTCTCAGCCATCCTAAGAATTTCTTCTCCGACTTCACCTGCCGGTCAGCCACCGCGTCTACACGGGCACCCAAATCAGTGACTGGGGTATTCAACCCAGCCATCTCCTACTCCAAAGCTGTCATGCGGGTGCTCCGGTGGGGCTGTGATGGGCCTGCCTCTTCCACTCTCGGAGGTGGTAGGACCTCAGCTACCTCAGCATCATCATCATCATCAGATTCATCATCTGATTCATCAACATTCACCACCGGCTCTCTTCCAATTCCATTTTTTCTAGCAAGGAACGGGGCTTTCAGGGGCAATTTCCCGTCAACTCTAAAGTTCTCAGGGACTCTAGCCAAACGACACAGTTTGGTGACTAGAGAAGGGAAGTAAAAGCCTTTGAGTATCTCAGGGGAGCGAATGAACATCTCATCGTGGATGAGCCGGGCGATATCAAAATCTTGGTGTGTCATAAGACAGTAGATAGCCGCTGCCCGGGGCCCATTAACATCAGTCGTGTTGCTGGAGGGTAGCAAGCGGGTGTTGATAATGGTGAGCCAGCACTTTGCCTCCTAATTAAGAGACTGTGAGTTCAATGTTATCAGATGCTTTATCCATATAAACGACTTGTCAGGGATACAGATGACATCAAGAATTGGTGCCCACTGAACCTTCGGGCGATGATAAGCTATATAAGCATCCATCTCTCCCGTGAATACTGGGAGGCGATACACCCGGCGGATGGTCTCGGGGAGGCATTTACCCGGTTATTGCTCACAGTAACCAACCCATGCTCATGTTCCGTCAAGTTCGCATATATCTCCCTCACTAGCGGAACATTGTCCTCCTCCGGTACCTCGAAGAAGATGTCCAGCTGACACCTCCTCAACTCATTGAAGATATTCGGGCACTCCACCTCTAAGGCTGCCCGGTCAATATGCACCTCATGTAGCAATTTCTTAGCTGCCTTTGCATTGTACCTGTCCTCCGCCGGTTTGGATACAAACCTAGTGCTATCAAACTGAGGCGCACTGGCTTGGCTCCTAGCTCTCGAGGAGCTTCCCGGTACACTAGCGGAGGACCCGGTGTTGCATCTCTTCCTAGATGAACTCATTTTACCTGTCAAACAGAGAAACGCCTATTAGTGAGTATGTGAAATGTGTGACTATGGGTGGTTACTCAGACTTCCCACAACCATGTCACATTAGCCCCTTATAACTCTATTGGGGCAATTTCCTAAACACCTTGTGGGCAAGACAAATTCTTCATACACATAGCCCATAGTGTGACATCAATTCCTCCCCAACTCAAAGATTCTACTACACCATCACACCCCACAACACTTCATTCAACACCTACAAACATACACCCCCTTTCACCACATTATACAAACAACCCCTTCACCAATTAGTCCCAAAAACGAAATTCACAAGAAAACAATAAGAAACTAACAAAAATCAACTAAAAATCACTACACAATTACA